TCCGAGTGTACGAATGACCAATCATAAAACCATCAAATCGCCTATACCACTGTCGAGGAGACTGCTTCAAACCGTATAGCGATTTCTTCAGTTTGCAAACTAATTTTTCTTTCCCTGCAGCTCGGAATCCCAATGGCTGAGTCATATATATTTCTTCATCAAGATCACCATGAAGAAATGCCGTTTTCACATCCAACTGATCTAATTCCAAACCATACTGTGCCACCAAAGCTAGCAAAATCCGAATCGAAGAATGCTTCACCACCGGAGAGAAAACCTCATTATAGTCAATACCTTCCTCCTGTGCATAGCCCTTCGCAACCAACCTAGCCTTGAATCTCAACGGAGTGCCTTCAATGCCCTCCTTCTTCGTGTATACCCACTTGCAACCAATTGCCTTCCGCCCCTTTGGAAGCTCAACAAGCTCCCATGTATCGTTCTTATGAAGAGATTCCATCTCCTCCTGCATAGCCACCTGCCACGAATCAGCCTCCGAACTCTGCTCGGCCTCTCTGAATGTAGTAGGCACCAACTCATCGATACTCTCCACCGGAAGTGCATACGCAACTGTGTCGGCATACCGTGCTGGCATCTGTATGTTTCTCCTCTGTCTCCTAGCCGCAATAGAATCCTGAACCTGAGCCGTCGGTTCCTGATCCTGCATATTTGTACTCGTATCCTCCGTGTCATCGTCGTGCTCGCCTGACGTCACCTCAGTCAGCACTTGCATGGATACTGTACCATCTGGACAATGTGGAGCTGCATCGATCTCCACCACCTGCGATATCTCCTCCGTCGGGTCGCTCTCCACCTGATGAGAGCTGGGAAGCTTCAAGATAGAAGCCTCATCGAATGTGACATCCCTACTCAGCACAATCTTCTTATCAACTGGATCCCAAAGCTTGTATCCCTTGACACCACGCTTGAATCCTACAAATATGGCCTTCCTAGCTCGAGGTTCCAATTTATCAGTTCTAACATGATAATATGCAGGGCACCCAAATACCTTGAGCTGGTCATAATCGTGTGCTGGCTTTCCCGACCACATCTCCATAGGGGTTTTCCCCTCAATCGCAGATGAAGGCAGCCTATTAATGAGGTGGCTCGCATATGTAAGTGCCTCAGCCCAAAAGATCTTCTCCAAACCACTCTGCGACAATAAGCATCGGATCTTCTCCAGTAAAGACCGATTCAACCTCTCTGCCACCCCATTTTGCTGCGGTGTATGACTAACTGTGAAGTGTCTCTCTATGCCCTCGTCTCGACATAGCTGCTGAAAGGGGTCAGAAGTATACTCACCACCGTTGTCGGATCGCAACGTCTTGATCTTTCTCCCAGTCTGCAGTTCCAATCTCTTCTTCCACTCCACAAACAAATCTAGGACTTCACTCTTCTTCGTCATGGTGTACACCCAACAACGCCTAGAATAGTCATCTACAAAAGTGACGAACCAATGTCTACCACCAAGTGATGCAGTCTTGGTGGGACCCCAAACGTCTGTGTGCACGTAGTCCAGGATGCCCCTCGTCTGATGAATGGCAGTCCCGAACTTCACCTTTGTCTTCTTGCCAAGAACACAGTGCTCACAAAACTCAATCTTCCCACTCTTGGCTCCCTTCAATAGCCCCTGCTTGCACAATGCCTGCAGTGACTTTTCACCTGTGTGCCCCAATCTATAGTGCCAAAGTCTGATCATGTCCGCTTCTGAAATAGCCGAAGCAACCTGGCCAATCTCGGTGCTTCCCTTCAGATAATACAAATTCCGATTGCGGACTCCCCTCATCACCACCAATGATCCCTTAGTAACCTTCGCTACAGCGTTTTCGAAAGTCACCTTGAATCCCTTCGCCTCCAAAGCTCCAACTGAGATAAGATTTTTCTTCAGTTGAGGAACAAATCTCACCTCCTTCAACTCACGGACTACTCCATCGTGCATCCTAATCCGTACGGTACCTATCCCACAAACGCCACAGGATTGATCATTTCCCATGACAACAACGCCCCCGTCGACTTTCTCAAAAGATGCAAACCAGTCTCGCCTAGGGGTCACATGAAAGGTAGCGCCGGAATCAAGCATCCAATCTGATGCATCCACATGGTTCACCTCCGGAGTAATCAGTAGAGAAAAGCACGAATCATCGGAATCATCGCCTTTCGCAATGTTCACCTCATTGGCCTTCGGGCCCTTTTTCTTGCCATTCTCCTTCTCCTTGAGCTTCGGGCAGTCTCTCTTCCAATGTCCCTGCTCCTTGCAGAATGCACATTGGTTCTTTGTTAATTGGTGGCGGCCTCTAGACTTTGACCTCCCTCTGTTACCACCTTTCGGATATGGGCTTCTACCTCTTGTCGACAAGGCCTCTCCTGAAGTACTAGCGCGGGAAGTCTCCTTGTCCTTCCTCCTCAAATCATAGTTGGTCAATGCGTTAGTCACTTCACTATAGCTGATAGAAGATCTCCCGTTCAACAAAGTGAGCACGAAGGTATCATACTCCTCATCCGGTAAGGAGCCCAACAAAATAATCGCCTTGTACTCATCCGATATCTTCTCATCAACATTCGCCAAGTCCGACAACAACTTCGTATAGTTGTTCACATGAGCCGCAAGCGAGGTGCCTCTGGACATCTGGAATCTGAATAACCTACGCAGCAAGTGCAATCGGTTCTCAACACTCTTCGTAAGGTACTTATTGTTGAGAATTTCCCACATCTTCATCGCAGACGTCACCCCAATCACATCATACTTCAGCTCCTGTTCCAAACAGGACCTGATCACCCCACAAGCGTTCCTATTCATTTTCTCCCATACCGCCTCTTCATATTTAGGTGGCCTCTCGTGGACCATGATGGTCTCTTCCAAATTCTGAGCATTTAACGCATCCTGTACGTCGCTCATCCACAAACCAAAGTTGATTTTTCCGTCATATTTCACCACACTAATTTTGGTGTTTTGAAAACCAACTTGTATTGTACCCGCCATCGATTTGCTGCTTTCACCTTCTTCTCCCATTGCGAACTAACTCCAAATTGTAGAGAAAGAACAAATTTGATAGAATTAGGAACCACCCAACTGAACCCTAGATCGGATTCCAAATAGATCTCCTATCCACACGAGGAAAGCGAAATCTCCAACGGCAACTCCTAATGCTATCTCCACCGAAGCCGAGAACTCCAAGAACTAAGCTTCACACAAGAATCTTCCTCCACCAAAAAACCCTAGATCTGAAATCTGGGCTCTGATACCACTTGTTGCGCGCAGCGGAAATTTCGGCAGCACTTCGGCAACACAACAAGAGAGTCAGGTCGCAATAAGAATTCTTGTTTCTCAAAGGGAACAAGAATCTGAAGCCTATATCCTATCAAAGTAGGATATTAGCTCTTCCTCTCGTCAGCTCTAGGACTGCGCGTCGAGGGACCCTAAAAGCTATTACAAATCACACAAAAGCAGTACAACCAATTTTAACGTGGTTCGGCAAATTGCCTACGTCCACGGGGCAAGGAGGGGGGAGATCTACTAATAGAGGGAGAGAATACAACTTGGGTTTACAATCACTCTCAATCTAAACCCTCAAACAAACTCTCAAATCCCTCACAAATATCTCTCACAAAAGGATGCACAAACCCTAACAAAAAAGGCTACACAAAATCAAATTCCCTTTACTCAAACCTCCTGTGCGTGCACACTGTAGCCGCCAACAAGTCCTCCTGTGCTCTGCCTCCTTCGCACGCAAAAGCTTAGGGCAAAAAATATGGCCATTTATAGCCTGCATCGAATTTGGTTTCGGCGTGGGCCTTCGTGGGCTCCTCACACGAATCTGGTTCGTGAGGTTTGCACCCCGCGTTCACCGCATTCACACACATGGGCCCCCCCACGTGCTCACATATATATATATAAGGGAGTATGTATGTGTGTGTGTATAAGATCTAAGACTTGAATACTCTATCGGCTTTCTTTGACTTAGGTGTATTTTATTGGACTCCAATTTCCTGGATTTCTTTGAAAGGGTTGAGTCCTCCTAATGGCTTGAGGGCTCAAGCTGAGGCACCCATTTAGATGTGAGGCTCATTTAACCAAGATTACTCGTAATAAATTTTTTTGATAGATTACTAAACTATTCCAATAGGAGTTGGCCACATAATCCTACATGCATCTCTCATAACAATGGTAATGGGTCAAATGACCATATCTTTCTCCATTGCCCTTACGCTCTTAGGTATTTAGGGCCCTATTCTCGTAAGCTATTACTCTACTCAAGCCATTCTCTTACATCTCACTGGTCATTGAGATTGTGTTGTCCTAACCAGATACTTCTGCGTTTTAGAGTGAAGAAAACGAGATAATGTTTTGGAATAAACTCAAAGACACAAATACTCTTCATCATTTGATTGTACGGTCGTCTTCTTTTTGACATGACAACATCACCTTACAGGAGTAAAACCTCCGATTCATAGGAATGTGACACCTTGATTCAATGAGCAACAATAGTCTTTTTTGTCTCGTAATTTTTCATCATCTCTCGTCATGCTATACTCTCTCTTTTTTTTTGTCCTCTTTTTTCCATACATATTTTTTTGGTGTTTCTTCTAGTTCATAGATATTCTGGACATCTTGGCCTGGTAACTCAAAGATTTTTAAAAAAAAGTTAATTTTTAAAAAATAAAGGTTTTAATGAGACATATATGTTACATAGTAATTGCAAAATCTGCCTAAACTCATATTCAATCTAGATTAATGCAAACCATGATGTGACTTTCCTTTTGTTCGCAAATCACAACCAAATTCATAATTTATCCCCCGACGAAACGCATCGCACCCCCTCACAAAAATTCCCGAAGCACCCCCAAACCCAAACCCAAAAACTCACCCACTCTCTCTCCCCCAGTTACCCGCCTCCGGCGATGTCGGTGGAGATCCCCTCTGCCCTGATCCGCCGGATCCAAACCACTCTCCGCCGCAACGCCGGCGTCCCCTCGTCCTACGACCCCGACAGTAATCCCGCACTTCCGCCCTCGACGCCGCCGGAGAGTCCTCGATCGCTTCCAATTCTTCAATCCGATGTGGCACGTGCCGGCGGAGCTCCGGGCTCGTGCGCGGGGCCCAGTCGACGATTTGTATTTTTTGCGGTCGCGATCGGAGGAGGGACGGCGTTGCTCACTCTGTCTCGTTTAATTCTACCGTCGCCTGTAGGAAGCTTCTCGACTCTCTGGGATTGGATGGATCTGTAAGTGAACTCAACTCTGAATCTTTGTTAAGTGTTGATTTGGGGTCAAGGAAGTAGTTCTGAACTTAAAAAAAAAAAAAAAAAATTGGCGTGGATACTGAAAATGGGTGAATTTGTTGTATATTCAGTGAAATGTAAACAAACCTCTATTGGATTGGGTAAACAATGGGGAAGTTGGTCGCTTTGGTTTACCAAAAGCATCCCTGAGATGCTTATTAGTGTTCAAAACACCGCGGTACGAGAATTAGTTAGAAATTTGCACAAGTCCTTAGTGAAGGGCTATGTTATGCGCTCCATTTTACTTACCTATCTTTTTACGAATAGCGTTAACAAAGTAACTTCTTGACAGTGTATCTGAAATTCTCAAATTTTGATCTATCTTTAAGGATTGGAGTAGAATGAAAGAGCTATTGCCTATGATTTTGATTCTTTATAAGGTTTGCTTAACACTTGTGATTTTACAAGCTATTTGCTGTATCCTTCATTCAGAAGTGCTTAACAAGCCATATGTGTGATCTTAAACTATTTATATAGATTTCCTTTTTTTTGAGACATGAATCACATGTGAATAGGTGTTTCTGAACAATTGGGAAATTTCTCCATGGTAAACTGTATGATGGCATCTGATCTTTTGACGAATTATATGTTGAACTTTGGAGAAAGTTGATCTAGTGGAAGTGTTTAAGTATAGCTGATCAAGCTCCGTTAATAAGTCTTTTATGTGAGAATTCTTAGAAAATATTGAAATAGGTTTTCCGTGCTAGCCAATTTAGAAAATTGCAGCATCTAGCAACTGTTCAAGCATAATTGTCGTTTTCTGATGGAACTGTTGAGAAGAGGTATGCCCAACCGTAGGGAATGATACCCAGTTGTTTACCGATGATTCATTCGAATGTGAATGAATCCATTAAGCATTTTGAAGTTTTGTTTGGTTGATAATGTTCCCAAGTGCAAAACGATATAAGTGAGAAAATTTTCAGCAAATGCGTACCACACTAAACTGAAAGATGGCCATTGGCCCATTGCCATATCAGCGTATACGCTCCGTTCTGTGAAACTTAAAAAGATGATATATCAACGTATACGACGTTTTATGCTTTCTCATTATTATCGTGATGAGTTATGAATGAGTATACTACTTATAATTGTAAAGTCCTTTGCTGTGAAACTTGTATAAAGATTTACTTGTCTTATATGGCAGGAAATTATTGAGTTAGACACGAAATCAAATGATTCTAAAAAGGGTCAGGATGCACAACATGATGAGTTGGCTTTGTCTAGTATTTTAGACTTGGAACTGAAGTGGCCTCCAGAGAAAGTAGAAGCTGCTAGCAAAGATTCTGACAAGGCACCTGTAAGTATCCAAACCATTAAGCTGTCAGGGGATGATTTGGATAATTTCTTCTCTGATTCAAATAACAAGACCACATCCAGTGTTCCTAGTATAAATAGTGAAGAGTTGATGCCTAATAACCAGACGAACACAGAAGGTTATATATCATCTAGATCAGAAACTTTTGGTTCTTTCAAGGACCTCCAGACACAAGGTATGGCTCTTAGTCCGGACAACACTAAAGATGGTGGTGATTTTAATGACTCTTTTGCTGATTGGGAAACTGGCTTTCAGTCTGCTAGTTCTCAAGCACATGCGCCATTAGTATCAACTGAGCATTCTAAGGGTTCTATGACCAAAGGACCTACCACTTCAACAACTGATGTAGCTGTTTCTGCAGAGTCCAAGTCACCTGACCTCTTCAAGGATTCTGCCACAGCGGTTTCTGCTCAAACATCTGCATCCACATTTAGCGAGCATATAAATGTGGAACATAAAGTAAGCAACAAAGTTGATAGCATAGAACCGATGGACGAATGGGGTGAGTTTTCTGCCACCGCCAACTTGAGTCAAGATGATCTTTGGCCCAGAACATCTAATCAGTTGCAAAGCACAAGCGAAACAGTCGACATTGAAACAAAGGATGAAGTACAATGTACAACATCTGCAGGTGACAGTTGGGGCCAAGACAAAACTTGGTCAACGAGCAATATAAAGGCAGCAAGTGTTAAAAGTGATGATGGTAATGATGCTTTTGATGATGCTTTTGATTCTTGGCAAGATTTTGCCGGATCGAATGAAGCACCTGGAGTTTCGTCAAGTTCTTTGACCCAACCGGGTAATGAGCTGGCATATAGGGAATATGATCCGACACTGAAGACAGAAGAGCTACAAGATTTGGAATTTGGTAGTTTCTTCAACTCAGATTCCTCTTTAGGAGCATTGACTGAACAGCGAGGTCCTAGTGAGTCAGCTTCCACCAATAAAATAGAGAAATATACTGATGGTAAAAGTGCTACTCAAAATCCTTGGGAAAATGAGCAAGATTTTACCAGTTTCTCAAATGAAGAATCAAGAGATTTGTTGAATTTGTGGTCACAAACTACTAATGAATCGACACCCAAGCAGGCTTCTCTGATAAAGTCCGTTGATCCACAGGATATGGAATTTGGTAGCTTCCTACATTCAGGTTTCTTTTCTGGAGCATTGGATGGTGAGAAAGGTCTTACTAAGGCAAGTGTTGCGAAGTTAGAGGACCCAGTTTCTACTAACAGCATGAACAAATTTGATAATACCCAACATATTGATGATCCTTTGGAAGCTTGGAAAGACTTCGCCAACTCAGAGGAAGCACCCAGAGGTTTGCCAAATACATGGATACCCAGTAGGGAAGCATCAACAGAGGATGCTCCTGGAGTGAAGTCGGTAGATCCAGTGGATTCAGAATTTGGTAGCTTTGTACATACAGATTCCTTTTCAGGACTGGATAAAAGTTCGACTAAGGTGAATGATATCATGTTAGATTCTTTAGTTTCTAAGCCGAGTGCTGAATTTATAAGTGGCAATGACATGGATGATAATGATGGTCTTTTTGGGTCTTTGAAAGATTCTACCAGCTTGAGTGAAGTACCAGCAGGTTTGCCTAATTCATTGACACAGCCTGGTAGTACGAGCACATCATCTAAGTCTGCTGAATTAAAAAATAACAATCACACAGATGATAATGATGACCCTTTTGGGTCTTGGAATGAGGCTACTAGCTTGCATGAAGTACCAGAAGGTTTGCGAAATTTATCAGCACAAACCGGTGCTAAGACCACATTATATGAACAAACTTCTGGTATGAAGATGATGAATTTAGAGGATATGGATTTTGGTGGCTTCTTACAATCAGATATGTTTTCAGGAGTGAGTCATCAGGAAAATTCAATTAAAGTGAATGATGTCCAGTTAGATGCTCTTGTTTCTACATCCAGCATTAAGGAAGCTAATAATACAAAGAACGAGGATGATGACAATGATCTTTTTGGAGGTTGGCAAGATTTTATTGGCTTAAATGAAGCACAAAGAAGTTCGGGAAATTTATTGAGAGAACCTGATGCTGGGGCCATATCATATGGGCATACTTCTGGGGCAAAGTCTTTGGATCTTCACGACATGGGATTTGGTAGCTTCTTATATTCAGATTCCTCAGGGACACTGGGTCACAAGAGAAGTAATAGTGAGGTGAACAGTATGCAGGATCCTTCAATTTCTTTCAGGTATGTTAAAGATTTTGTGCTGTTTGAAGTTGCTTCTTGAAATCGGTTTTTCCCTCCTTTATGATAGAGTCAATTTTATTGGTCATAGTTGGGTTATGTTGTTATTAGAGATACCCGCATTATTTGGGTAATATTGGGTCTGATTCTGTTCTGGGTGTGCACGAGTATTTCACTGGTGTTCATTTTTAATTGAAAGGCAGTGAATACAGTCAGAAAGTCTTGTCTTTTTAATTCATAAGGTTTCATTCAGATTTTTCCTGTTGTGTCAAAAAGGAAGCAAACTTGGTAAAAATAGTGTAATTAACTCTGGGCAACTTAGAGACTAAAAACATTCTTACTAGATCAGAACAAGTCATTTAGTCCACGCCCACTATTAATAATAATAATTTTTCCCTAACCCTTCTGCTGTGCCTGTAGAAGCTAGAGAAACTCATGGAATCCCTCCTTTGTACCCCAGCAAACAACAGAAACCCTGTAATCTGATATCTTATACACACCAACTAATGGTTAATTGATACATTGCATTTATTTAATGTTTCATGCAAACTTCGACACTTGGAAGCTCAATTGCATGCCAATTGTGCCCGACTTGTTATTGAATCAAGACAGTTCTCAATTTTTCTCAAGCTCATTACTTGTTATCATGTAGATCTGAAGACACTTCCAGTGTTTTCTAGAAGTAAGAGAACAGTTGTAGTATCTCCAGTAAAGGATAGACGCTCATAGAGTATCATTCTAATCCCCAATGCACTATATTATAATCTCAACCATGACTCTCAAAATTCATTGACAGTAATTAGTTCAAGAAAGTATTTTGGAGGAAAATGAAAAATTAAATAGGTAACGTGAGGGAAGTTTTGATTTCTCAAAATCCACCATCATTTTCAATGCGGACCGCTGCTCGATTGCTCTCTTTCTAATAAAAACATAATCCCAAATATAGAAGGATTGATGGAAATTAGATCAACTTTTTCCTGACCAGAAATGCCTCCTATAAGAGCCATTTTTGGGTTGGTGTTTGGTGTTTGTGTGTTTAGTTGGGGTGAGGGGGATAGTATGTATGTGTGGGTGGGTGGGAT